ATAGACATACACAGGTGCCAAGGATCCAAGTGCAACCGATTATGACTAGTAATAAACAGTTACATACAGATTAGAGATGCATGCACCAACATATCAGTGTTAGTAGCAAAAACAATGAGTCTTTCTGCAAGGAACAATATATTCTAAAATGAAATGGAGATCTTTTTTAAAGGTTAAAAACTCATTCAGTTTTATGTCTTACAGGGCTTATACTGAGTTCAACTCTGTATAACTGTATTAATTCAACTGTGAACCTAGAGACTTGCACCCTCTTGTAAAAGAGATGTACTCTTGCTCTGGAGTGTGCTATTGAATATGTTAAAGCTGTTTTTCTAATCATGTAGTTATTAAAAATTTTAAAAAAAGAAATAGAAAACATCGTTCTGCCTTAACGAACGAATCCTAGGTGTTCGAATTCAAGATCTAGAGTAAGAAATGTAACTGTTGGTTTTTCTTTCTTTGTGGGGTTTTGCTTAAATCTTTTAAAGTCTGTATTAGAATAGTGGGTTATAACTTCCTCATCTAACCCCTAACCTTTCCTAGCCTATGATAACATAAAAGATATTTAGATGAGTATCGGGGGTTTGCCTACCTATTGTTTTTCAAGGAACCTGACAAGAAGGCTTTGAAGTTTCATAGGTGACTCAAAAAATTGGAGGGAACATTAGCAGCTGCTTTCTACTGGAGAAAAGGTGTGCTTTTGGAGTTCTGAGTGCAGAGAAGGTGAAAATATTTGGGGGACTGAGCAGCTAAAGGACAGGGTGGTTTTGTTAGCTATGTAGATTCCTTTTTTAGTATAAAAAACAACAAAATAAAACAAGTGTCTATGTGCTTAGCATCTAGAATAAAAAAAATTAACATTTGTTATATTTTGTTTCAGATATTTTGGAGTTTGCCTCTTTTTGTTTTTGTTTTTGTGACAGGGTTTCTCTCTAGCCCCAGCTGGCCTAGAACTGCCTATATAGACCAGGCTAGCCTCTGCTCATGAGATCGATCTGCCTGGGCTTCCAGAGTACTAGGGTTAAAGGTGTGTACAACCACCCCTAGCTAGTTTTCCTCTTTTATTTTTTGTCTCAGTATTTTTTTTTTTTTCAGATAGGCCTTGATACGTTGCCTCGACTGACCTTGACTCCTTCTGTTTCAGCCTCCCAAGTACAGGGATTCCAGGTATGCATGGCCATGCTTGGCCAAGGGAAAGCATTAGGAATAAAGTTAAATCCCCCTTTGTTGTTCTTCCCAGATTTCTTTTTCCCTGTCCCATTTTAGAGGCAATGACAATCATTATTTGGGATTATCTGACCCAGATTATCTTTGCAGAGTTTTACTGCATATATCTGTATTCACAAACTTTATAGTATCGTTTTATAGGTTATTTCTAATTTTTTTTTTTACAAATTGTATTAAGATCTTGATAAAAACTTCCTATGCTGATTCTTTGTTGGAAACATTGCAAAATTAGTCCTATGATAAGTCCTTGTAAAATTTATGTAGAATACAATTTAGCTGTTTTAGTTTTTCAGAGAAAGAAAAGCCTGAATCATGGAGTAATTGCTTTTCTATTTTTTCCTCCCTCCATCCCTCCCTCCCTCCCTCCCTCTCTCCATTACAGTATTGTGATTGAATTCCAGGGCCTCCTGCATGCTACACAAGTACTCTGCTATATACCTGGCTCCCCCCACCCCTTTTTTCCATTTCCTTTTCCTTTTCAGGCAATTCTTACTTAGTTACCTGGCTGGGCTTAAATTCACCCTGTAGACGAGGCAGACCTTGAATTTAAATTTATATATATATATATATATGTGTGTGTGTGTGTGTGTGTGTGTGTGTTAAATTGGCTTTATTAAGTCAGAGGACAGCTTGTTGAAGTCAGTTCTCTCCTTCCACCATGTGAGTCCCTTGGATTGAACTCAGGTTGTTCAGGCTTGGCAACAAATGTCTTTACCAGCTGAACTATCTTGCCAGCCTCAGTCTTCAACTTTTGATCCTCTTGCCTCAGACTCCCAAGTGTCTAGGATTATAGGCCTGCTCTACCAGGCCCAAATGTTGTTGTCTTTTAAAGATAATCAAGACATATGGATCAAATTCAGTGTTTTCCTCTCTCCTTAAGATGTCATTGTCAGCTAAGCATGGTGGGTTCATGCTTGTCATTCCAGTGCTCAGGTGTTGAGGCAGGAGGGTAGCTGAGAGTTCAAGTCCAGCCTGGACAACAGAGTGAGGGCCTGTCTTTAAAAAAAAATTAAAGCCAGATGTGATGGCACAGCCTTTAATCCCAGCCCTTGGGAGGCAGAGGAAGGCAGATCTCTGTGATCAAAGCCAACCTGGTTCCAGGCCAGTTGGGGCTACAGGACGACCCTGTCTCAAAACCAACCAAACGGGCCTGGAGAGATGGCTCATCGGTTAAGAAAACTGGTTGTTCTTGTAGAAGACCTGGGTTCGAATCCCAGCACCCACATGGCAGCTATCAACTGTCTGTAACTCCAGTCTCAGGGGATCCGACAGCCTCTTCTGACTTCCAAGGGCGTTGCACGACATGGGTACACTTACCTACATACAGGCAATACACGCATACACATAAAATTTTAAAAAAAACTCCAACCAAACAACAACAACAAAACCAATATTAAGTGATTCCCAAATAACTTTGTAAGCTTTCTAAAAATAATCCTTATGTAGTTGAAGTACACCTATTGTTTGGTTCTCTCTACTAGTTGGCAATGTTCTCAAGACCAGATACTATATTTTACTTTTGTTTTTCTCCCATATGGCATATTCTTCATCAGTTCTTCCAGAGAGACTGACTAAAAGTGGACATCTCTCCTTATAGATATTTATTTCCCAAGGTCCAGAGTACTTTCTTTGATTGTTAAAAAAAAAAAAAAAAAAAAAAAAAAACTTCATTTTTACTGCAGTCAGAAACTCCTCCTCTTTCCTATAGATCATAACTCACAGAATTTTACTCAAGAACTTCAAGTTTTCTGAAAAGATCACTGCCATGGAGAATTATTTATTTTTATAAAAGTAAGATATAATTAAAATACTTATCATTATCAAGTCACCTATTTAAATATTTTGTTGATAATATCAGATCATAAAAGCCTTAAAAAAACTTTTACAAAAAGAAAAACAAAAAAATACAAGAACAACTTTGTTTACTCTAGTAGGGTAGGCATTCACAAAGCAACCAAAATAATTGTCAAACTAAACTAATTTGGTATTATTTCTCCCTGTTTTTCTCTTGTATATTTCATGCAGCCTGGAATTCATCAGCAGCTGGAAATGAAGACTTCTTAAGGCAAATTTAAAAAGTCTTACCTTACAATTGGAAAAGCATTTGTCAAGATTTTGTTATGCAGCTGTGATTTATCCTCAACGAAGAAGACTGTATTCTTGCAATATGTGATTTATCCTCAACGGAGAAGACTGTGTTCTTGCAAAGAAACTGAAAAAGGAAAAAAAATTAAGAGCATACAGTGCTAAACAAAAAAAATATGAAGATAAGATCTTTGGAAAGTGGAGTCTTTGGGAAAACCTTATGGAAAAAGATGGTTGATTGACAAATTAAGGTACCGCAGGCAGGGAAGACACCCTTGAGCCACGGCTTTGGAGGTAAGTGCTAAAGAGGTTTTATCTTAGACACAAAGGGATAGTTTAACCATTGAGATAAAGTAACTAGAGTTTCACCACTTTAATCCCAGCCCCCAAAGAGACGTAGATGTAGGTGGATCTCTGTGAGTTCAAGGTCAGTTGGAGCACATAGTGAGTTCCAGGCTAGCCAGAACTACATAGTGAGACCCTGCCTTAAAAAAAGAAAGAAGGAACAAATAAAAAGGAAAAAAAAGAAAGAAAGAAGGGGCTAGAGAAATAGCTGTGTTCTTAGCTGGGCATGGTGGAACACAGCTGATGACTTGGGTTCGATTCCCAGCACCCAAATGGTGGCTAATAATTGTCTATAACTCCAGTTCAGGTGATGCTCTCTTCTGACCTCCTCTGGACACAGGGGTACACTTACATGCAGGCAAAACACTCATTCTTATAAAATGAAAATAATAAATCAAAATTTATTTTTTTTGTCTTTTTGAGACGGGGTCTTCTTGTAGCCCCAGCTGTCCTGGAACTCACTATGTAGACAAGGCTGGCCTTGAACTCACAGAGATCTACCTGCCTCTGCCTCCCGAATGCTGGGATTAAAGGCATGTGCCACCACACCCGGAATAAATCAAATTTTTTTTAAAAAAAGAAAAAGAGAAAAAGTAATGAGTTTATTGGAAATCAGATTGGTGGGAAGAATTTCGTATCTAAGTGAGGCGTTTCCTTTGAGGCAAAGCAAAGGAATCATAGAATAATAGAAATCTTGGTCTGGAGATGGCTGAGCTCTTAAGGGGGTCCTGCTCTGTGGCCCTCTGGGTCCACAGTTCAGTTCCGACATCCGGCAGCTCACAACTGCCAGTAACTCTAGCTTCAGAGGGATTCCTTGCTTCTGGCCTCTGAGGGCACTGCATTTATGAACATAAAACCACACCCAGTTACACATACTTAAGAATAGAAAATGGGAAGGTCTTGAAAACAAGCAAAAGTTGATGAAAATGAAAGCGTACAAGATGTTTTTAAAAATAATTGAATGAAGGGCCGGGCGTGGTGGCTCACGCCTTTAATCCCAGGTAGAGGCAGGCAGATCTCTGTGAGTTCAAGGGCATCTACATAGCGAGTTCCAGGATAGCTGGGGCTACAGGGAGACCCTGCCTCCAAAAAAAAAAAAAAAAAAAATTGAACCAGGCACGGTGTTGCTCACCTTTAATCCCAGCATTTAGGAAGCAGAGACAAGCAGGTCATTCAGGTCACATTCGAGGTCAGCCTAGTCTAAACACAAGTTCCAGGATAGCTAGACCCTCTCTACAAAAAACAAAACAAAACAAAACAAAAAAACAACAAAAAAAGTATAAATTTTAGAATGATCTCTATTATATTTTGAGTATGAAAGAATACCAACAAAGACGCTATCTAGACTATTACTAATCAGCAGTAGCACCATGTATAGTAAGGTACAGTGGTATTATTCAGGAGACCTGATTCCAAGGAGCCTGGAGCAAAGTTCTCGAAAGGTGTTTATAAGAGAAACCGGTTCTCCTTCAGGGCTCCTTCAAGAAAAATGAGGATAATAACGAAATTTATTGCATAGGCTCAATTTAAGACTAATTCATGTGAAATGCTTAGAACAGTTCCAGGCACATGATATGCATTTAACAGAGTAGCTGTTACAATTGCTATTACAATTTTCTCCGCGTTTTTTTCTGGGAGTCGGTACATTTTCAGCAGAGTCCGGAGCTAAGCACACTTCCCACGAAGTCGCCTTTTAGTCAGATCTATTTTTTGGCTACGAGAACCGCGGAATTAGGACTATGGCTGTTTTGGCAGATAGGATTTTCGGCGGAAGACTTTTACACAACCCGGTGGCACAGAACGGCGCCACCTTCTGAGCGGCTCGCTGAGCTCCACACAGAGCAAAGACTCGGTTCCGCTGCGCTGCCGGAAGAGTGTCAGAGCGAACACGCTGAGGGCGCGCTCTTCTCCCGGAAGCAGTTTGTCTCTGGACCCGGAAACAGTTGTTTATCTCAAGGGAGGCGGGACTGGGCGGGTCGGGCCGCAGACGGCTGACGGTGGGGGAGGAGCCGGGTCCACTGCCGGGTGGAGGGGCAAGGCGAGTGTCCTTATACTACCGCCTGGGGCCCGGGCCTGTGAGTCCGTTGGAGTCGCGGCGGCGGGAGCGATCGGGCTGAGAAGTAGACATGTTGCTCTTCGTAGAGGTGAGCGTCTTGGGACGTCTCATCCTGCTCTGAGGGACGCTGAAGTGCTGGGGGCGCGGGCCGGTCCCACCGCCATGTGACTTTCCAGGCCGTACACGCCGCGGAACCGGCCGAGAGGCTGACACAGCACCTAGGCTGTGCAGGCCCGCCGGCTGGCGGGGCGCTCTCCATGCTGGAAGCTGCGGGGCGGCCGGGGTGGGGGCGCTCCCGCGGCGGGGTAGGTGGTCGGCGACGGGCCCTGGGCTTCCCCGAGGCGGCGAGAGGCGCCGGGGAGACC